CATTAGCACCTCTAGTAATATATTTACTGAGAAAAATGGTGACATGTTCAATACTTATTTTACCTGCTGTATCAACACAAACACAATTACAAAAATTGTTGGAAGTCAATACAAAGTCCTTGTTTTGATGGATGTACAATATGTGTGTTCGTGTTCATGTTTGTTAACAAAATATCTCAAATTTGCCTCCTATCCCAGGCAGCTGCTTCACACTCAGCTGTGAACCACCACAATGCACACTGAAGGTAGTGGCTCAGAGATGCTCACAGAAACACATCATCTGCATAAAGCAGAGATGAGACTGCCTCCCAAAGCAGACATCCTCTTCTCTGGGCTCTGCCTTTGAAATAGGTGAGAAGTTCAAATCCACTTGGAGCTCGGAGTAGAGRCGCTGTTCCAGTTGAGATGGTTTGGGCATCTGGTAAAGATGCCCCCTGAACACCTCCTAAAGACAAACCTCCCTGTAGTTGTTGTGGGTCTTAGACCAAGTTTGAYTGATGCCAATTTTGAGTGAAACTGTAGCATTTTGAAAGAACCCTGCAATGGTGTGAAATTGCCTATGTGTGCTACTGACTGCACTTATGCAGTCACAAGTGTTTCTGAGCTTGTGCAAGTAGATTAACAACAGTAACAATGGCAGATAACAGAGCAATGTTTGTACTTCTCAGCCTTTTCAACGTGCAACCCAACCTCATCCTCAGTCCCAACAAACTATTCACCATGAGCTGCCTGCTGCACGTCTTATTGAAAGCAAAAAATCCCCTGGCTTCAGTGTTGCCTGATATACAATAATTACATTTGGGGTCAGGCTCCCCTATTTTTTATYCACATTTTCACCAATTACAACACACAACTCAGAAAGTGCACCCTCACACAGCACATACAATAGTTTGGGTCAGAGATATGTGATCTGGCAACTATGTCGGGCATGGAAACTACACCAAAAAATGACTTTTTGAATTTACTTAACCAAATTATGTCAAGTGGCTCCACTCAGTTGAGTTGAGTAAATGTAAAAAGATTTACTTGTGCTACTTCTGTAAATCTTGTTGACATAATTTAGTCAAGTCAACAAATAACTTTAACAATTATAGCAATATACATGTGAACATATTTTTGACCATTTATTTGTGAGAATCTAGATTGTAAAAACACTCACATTTCCAGAAACTGTTCATGTGTAAACAGGGCCTCAGTAACCAGCCTACTTTGTGTGTGTGTGTGTGTGTGTGTGTGTGTGTGTGTGTGTGTGTGTGTGTGTGTGTGTGT